TCACCACAGCCTGTTCTGGAACATGCTGTGCCCGGAGAAGGTGCGGGCTGGGTCACTGGCTGCACCCCTGGCACCCTGATGATCACTCGTGGCCGCTGATGCCCTGCTTTTGCTGGCACCATCTCTATATGCTGCAGGAGTTCCATCCCCCCAGCGGCGCGCTGGAGCAGGCCATCGACGCCCAGTTTGGCGCTCTGGACGGAATGATCTCCAAGTTCATCGCCGCCACGGCCGCCGTGCAGGCGCGCACCTGGCAAGGAGTGTCTGCCTGGGGGCAGCCGTGCATGCATCAGGGCAGTGCTGGCGGCACCGCGGGTCCGGGGTTCCTGGGCAGGGCCGCCTGGGGGCGTAACTCCCTGCCTGTGCCTGCCCACTGCCTGCAGGGCAGCGGCTGGGGCTGGCTGGCATACCACCCCGAGGCCAAGACACTGGTCATCACCACCACGCCCAACCAGGACCCGCTGCAGCCCACCACCGGCCTGGTGCCGCTGCTGGGAGTGGACGTCTGGTGCGCGGGGGGGAGGGAGGAAGCAGATAGGCAGCTGGCATGCTCAGCCAACCATCCCTAGCAGCAGCGACAGGAGTGCTCTTCCATGGCTGACCATTCCCCCTGCCTTCCTGGAACGTCCTCGCGGCTGTGAAGGGAGCACGCCTACTGTAAGTGCTGCTGCCGAGCGCTGCGTTGAACGTGCAACCTGCTGCCTGGCCGTGTGTTTCGAGCCGCTTTACTCACAACCCTCGCTGCTGCTGCCTGCCCATGCCTGCCAGACCTGCAATACAAGAACGCCCGCCCCGATGTGAGTGCTGGATGCTGGGGTGGGCGCTGATTTGGGGTTGGAAGGTGCAATGTGGAGGCCACAAGTGTCTGCTTGTGCTCATGTGGTGGGGGCGCCTCTCTCCTGACACTGTACCGCTGCAGTACCTCAAGGAGATCTGGAGGATTGTGAACTGGCGCGACGTGGGCCGGCGCTATGAAGATGCCACCGGTGCTTGATGGGCTGTGGCCTGTCAGCGACCTGCTTGCTCCCTGCCGGGGACGGGCTTGGGGCAGACTAGTTGCCTCCCTTTGTTGGGCTAGCGCTGTTTTGGTATTCTGACTCTATCATGGGCACCTGTTGCAACTTCAACCAACGATAGATGAATCAGGCAAGCGATACAAGAACAGAAGCAGAGCAGAGTTGGACACAAAGAAAGAGCAAGCAAAAAGCATGACAACGAAACAGGTGCAGCACGGGCTGCCAAGAGCTCCAACTGCCAGTGGTGGGTCACGACGCCTGCCCCGAGGGCGCAGGAGCAGCCTGCTGCCTGCTGGCCGCCTTCTCTTCTATACACTGCACCGTGCGCGGCACGCCTGCCGGGGGCGCCGAAAAGGCGCGCACTGCGATGAAGGTTCCCATGCAGTTGTCCACCTGCATGCAATGCCACCAGAGGGACAGGCAGCCAATCAGAACTCAAGGTGCGGCTGCAGGGGCACAAGCCGCAGGCATGGCCATGGCAGGAGGAGGAAGAGTGCAGGCACAGCTCAGCAGCAGGCCCACCTGCCAGATGGACACTTTCCAGGTCTCGGGGTGGTGCGGCTTGAACTCGCGCTGCACCGGCAGCACCCTGCTGCTGCTGCCGGCCAGCTGCGCCGCGGCGGCCTGCGCCGACAATGTGCATGAAGAGGCTCAGGCTGGTGCTGCGATGGAATGCTCGCTGGCTGCGGAACGCAGGTAGGCAGTCGCCCCATGCGAGCAATCAGGACGCACTCAGTCCCGCTTGCCTGTAGTGCTGGTACAGGGTCGTACTGCCAGATGGGCGAGTTAAATACCCGCGTCGTAGCCGTCAGGTCGCTCCTGCAAACAGAAG